ATTACAACGTATTTCTGAACTGAGCGGTTGTTACGATCCCATGCAGTACCCACTCTTTTTTCCGCTAGGTGAACATGGTTGGCACCCCGAAATACTACAAAATATATCACAAAAAAGAGTAACTACCAGACAGTACTATGCGTACAAGTTACATATATGTCAGAATTCTCCATCATTACTTCATTTTGGGGGGCGACTTTTTCAGCAATATGTCGTCGACAACTATGTCAAAATTGAATCTGAACGACTTAATTATTTGCATTTAAGTCAAGATAAGCTTCGTAAAGAACTTTACCAAGGATTACACGATTCCTACCAATTAGGGATAACAAATACATCAGAAGTAGGAACTAAAACTATTTTGCCATCATCCTTTATGGGCAGTCCACGTGACATATATCAACGTTATCAAGATTCTATGGCGTTAGTCCAAACCTTTGGCAGACCCGACTTATTTATCATGATTACATGTAATCCCAGATGGCAAGAGATCTCTTCTGAACTTTTACCAGGACAAACTTCACAGGATAGACCTGATCTTACAGGTATATAGATGAATTGTTGTAAATTGATTTAAATTATTTTATTGTTTTATTGAATTTAGAATATTCTATTTAATAACATTATTAAGTAACAAATATTTAAACTTTATTACCTAAAATTGATCCTCTTATATGATCAAACTTTAAATTTGTCAAATCAAATATTAAAAATACATTTAGCCTTTCTTTATATCAATTAACACATAATCAATTATCAGACCTATAATAATACGAGATTATATAACAACTTAAAACAACAAATTGGATATCGGATATTCTAACCTAATATAAACATATTTATTACATATTTTAATTCTGCAGCTCGAATTTTTCGTTCCAAATTAAAAGAAATTACAAAAGATATCTTCGATTATGGTATATTTGGTCGTATAATTGCACATATGCATGTAATAGAATTCCAGAAACGTGGGCTTCCACATGCGCATTTATTAGTAATTATCCATCCCAGTGACAAATTTCGTGGGGCTGATTATTACGATACTATTATCTCTGCAAAATACCAGATCCGGAAACAGAACCAAGATTATACCAGACTGTTACATTTAACATGATGCACGGTCCGTGTAGACAATTTAATCCCAAAGCTCTCTGTATGAAAAATGGTGTATGTACTAAACGTTATCCTAAAGAATTCATAGAAACAACAAGAGAAGGAGACAACTTTTACCCGATATATTGTCGTCACGATAACGGACATCAAATATTGTGCAGAAATGTGTGGTTGGATAATCGTTGGGTCATTCCTTATAACCCTTATTTATCTTTTAAGTATGATTGTCACATTAATACTGAAATTTGTTCAAGTATAAAATCAACCAAGTATTTGTACAAATATGTGTACAAAGGACATGACCGGGCTGTGCTTCAAATAACTAACAAAGATGAAATAAGTCGATACTTGGATGCTAGATGGATTTCTGCCTCAGAAGCCTGCTGGCAAATTTTTGGATTTGATATGTCTCAAATTAATCCATCAGTAGTTCGTTTACAGATTCATCTCCCTTTACGGCAACCTATAGTTTTTTCTCAGAATGTTAGTCTTGATGAACTAATTAACAATGAACTAAATAAAAGAACAATGCTAACTGAGTATTT